CGCTTCTGCCCACCCAGCACCCCCACCCCCTCATGCACCTGCAGGGTGCCAGGGCCCAGAGGGGAGTTGGGGTTCGGACCAGCAGGTGGCCCTTCAATCTGCTGTGCACCCCAGGTCTCCAGCCAGGCCCCAGGTTCCCTCTTGACTCTCATGAACCCTTTTCTAGCTACACTGCTAGCCTGGGGGGCACTGCTCTGGGGGCGGGGCTCCCTCCATACCCCTCTTTGCCCCGGGGCCGGCTCGGGGCTCTCCTCACTGAGGTTTTATTTGGGGGGGCTCCCTCCCTCTGTGGTTGGGGAGGGGTCGAGACCCCCCAGGTATGAATACCTTAATGAAAGCAGGGATGAGGGACAAAGGGGCTTAGATCTAATAAATTATTAGCGTTTTAGTGTCCGTGGGGGTGGGGCAGGGTGGGGTGGGGTGACCTCCAGGGCCCCCCCTCACTGGTGGACCTCATTCTCGATGAGGCTGTCCTCGCAAGACTGGAAGTCTGTGTCGGTGAGGCCCTCGTCGGGCGGCATCAGGAGCTCCTCCTCTTGGGAGGAGGTGGACGGGGGCTCGTCCCCCGAGCTCCCGGGACCCCCATCCCCATCCCCTTCTGAGTCCTGCAGCACCTGAGCGATGTATTTCTGAGGGTGGAGAGGAAGAGGGCGTGTGAGGTGGACAGCTGTCCTTCTGCGGTCTACGAGGACGCGACAAGCTGCCCCTCAGCCTTGGCACGGGCACTCACCGCAGACTTGGGGACGGTGGCAACAGCTGGGGGCCGCCCGTTGCTCCTGGGGTCCACCGAGTCCGTCTCTGTGTCCGTGTGTTCGATCTTGAGGGGCCCAGAATGAAGCCGGGAGTGGGCGGCCTCGCCCGCCCCCATTGGGACCCCCACCCCTCCTGCTCCCAGCAGCCTCAGCTCAGGAGCTCCCCACCCCCCACCCCTGCAGCCCTCTGGCTCCTGCCCCCACACCTTGTAGTTGTGGGCACTGAGGTATTTGAAGTGTCCGAAGCAGACATGGCAGAGACAGATGACAATGGTGATGACCAGGACCACGAATGTGAACATAGAGGTGGGGGCTAGGAATCCTGCCGGGGTGGGGGTGGGGGGGGAAAGAGAGGGTGGCAGCTCTTTAGGCTCCGGGACCTCCCAAGCCCCTCCCCACCCTGAGCTTCTATTCTTCTTCTGAATTATCCATTTTAAACATTCCACGTTTTATCCTTTTACATGTTACCGCGGTGTCATCTTAAGTCCGTTCCAATTCATTCGTGATCCTAAAAGATAACGTGCAGTGGCCCCATAGGGTGTCCTAGAGGGTCAGCCTGAGGGGAGCCCCTACTGGGGTCTTTGGTCCCAAGGAAGAGCTAGTGAATTCCTACAGCATGCCTGCCAGGGCACAGCTGGCCCCTTAGCCACTGCCCACTAGCCTGTCGATCTCCATTTTCCTTTATATTTTGCTTCTGTTTGTCGATTCCCTCTTGAATGCCACCCCAACCCTCCCAGAACCTGCCCCTCACCCAGGTCCCTGCCCTGGAACCCCGCCAGGGTGGCCCTGCATGGCCCGTCCCATCTGTTTTCCTGCACCCCCGGCGCGGCCCCTCACCGGTGCGCATGGTGGAGAAGAAGAGCAACCAGAAGAGGCAGAGGATGGGCGCTGCCACCACCTGGTTCACGGCCCCCGAGTGGATCTTCTTGTCCAGCTTGGCCGGCAGGTAGGCGTAGTAGAGGTTGTACCTGTCTGCCAGGTGCTTCAGCAGCATGTACATGAGCCCTGGGGGACAGCCACACAGGCCTAGCCTTGGAACCAGTGCCACTCAACCACTGGCGTCCTGGTCCTTCTGAGGCGGCCAACAGGCCAGGCTCCCTCCTCTGGCCCCAGCGCAGGGGGGCAGGGCACCCCACAGCCGGCAGCCTCACAGAACGTCTGCTTCCTGGGGTCAACCCTCCTCCTCTGCCCTCGCTAGACCTTCTACTGTTCGAAATGCATCCCTTTGGCTCAACCAACCATCTTCTGAAACCTGTATCCGTCTCCCTCCGGCTGTCCCTACACTCAGAAAGCAAAACGTAAGCTCACTGCCATGGGGTCAGTGCTGACCCACTGTGATCCTGTAGGACAGTGTAGAACTGCCCCTGTGGGTTTCCCGGACTGTAACTCTGTACAGGAGTAGACAGCCTTGTCTTTCTCCCACGAGGCAGCTGATGGTTTCGAACAGCTGACCTGATAGTTAGCAGCCCAACACGTAACCCACAGAGGAAGTATAAATTCTGTTCCAATCATGGCAAGGCCCGTTTCCCTAGAAGCTAATAAGGTTTTTGGAGGAAGACTAGGAAATTCACTTGAGAGTCCAGAGTCTTGTATCCCAGAGGGGGGTGTTTAAGGGGTTGGGAACATTACTAGGAACGCAGTTGAAGACTAACTTCACTAACTTCTCCAGACCCCCCAGAGAGGGGTCAGGGCCCAGCCTACTCTGTAATCCAAAGATCTTCTCTGCATATACAGGGCTGCCCAGTGTACGTGTGTGCACCTGTGAAGTGTTATGTTCCTACAGAGGTGAGCTGGTGCCTGGACTATATCCGAGTATATCCAGAGGAGTGGAAACAGTGGGGAATGGGCTGTGTTGGGGTGATTCTTTCCAGGGACCCAGCACACCAGCCTAGTTTTGCCTGCACCCAGCTGGTTCGCCCCTTCCTCCCTGCAGGCTGGGCCCCAGACTGAGCCAGGGACCAGGCGGGAGGCCCGAGGGGCCGGGCTTCCAACCAGGGCCCTGTCCACTCGGGGTGGCCTGCCTGGCTAGTGTGTTGCAGGTGAGGTCCTGGGTCCCCCCGAGCAGGGCCCAGGTCCCGGCGCGGCGGTGCCTACCGAAGGGCACGATGATGGGGCAGGTGATACTGTAGGTCATGACCACCGTGAAGACGCACATCATCCAGGCGTAGGCTGCGCCAAACTGGAACTCGTAGGCCTGATGCTGGGGGGGAGATGGCAGGAGGTGGCTCAGGGTGGGGCCGGGTGCGGGGAGGCAAGGAGGGCCAGAGGGAGTCAGGGGGCGCAGCCACCAGGAAAAGGGCCTGTAGGTTGGGGGAGGGAAGGCAAGCAGGTGGAGGGGCGGGGCTGTGCTGGGAGTGGGCGGGGCGGGGCAGTGCCTACGAGGGGCGGGACTGGTGAGGGGTGGGGGAGCCCAGTGCCTAGGGAGCCCGACCTGGCCCGAGTCCCTTGTTAGCATGCTAGGCTGTTATTGCTGGCAGGGTTATTATCTGTGTTGACCCATCGCTGTCCACGAGGAGAAGCTGAAGCTCCGGGTGGAAAGGGGTGGCCCAGGGCCACAAGCGTCCTGGAAGCTTTACCTGGGTGCCCCAGGTCCCGCCCACCCTGCGCTCCGCGCCCTAGCTGACTGCTGCTGTTCCTGGCCGGGCCCACCAGGGCGCGCTGTGCGGGCCGCCGCTGCCCCAGGCAGCCATACCCGCTTCACGTTGCGCCTCTCGGCGGCCGAGCGCGCCAGGCAGAGCCGGATCATGTACATGAGCAGGCCCGGGATGCGCAGCAGGTCCATGGCGTTGCCGATAAACGCGGAGGCAATGACGTAGTTCACGAAGAAGGCGCCGTTGTCCGGCAGGAACACGCACCTGCGGGCACCAGGTGCTCCAGCACTGGCTGCGCCCCCCCAGGGTGCCTGGCGTCTGCCTGCCCGTCACTGCCACGCCGTGCCCTCACCCCACGTGCCATGCCCCATGTGCGAACCCAGAGACAGACGCAGTGTGCAGAGACAGACGCAGTGTGCAGACACTCCCCAAGCGAGCCCCAAGAATGCTGAGGGAAGACAGGCATGCCCAGAGTGTGAGCCAAGTGTGAGTCCCCCCAGGATTTGTGCCCCCACAAAGACCCAGCAAGCGAGTGCTTGAGACCACTAGGATTGCCACTGGCTAAGACTGGCCAAGTCCTCCCCAGTGAGACTCCCAAACAAACATCCCAGCTGTGTGAGTCTCCAAGCACCCAGAGGGTCCCCCCTTGTTGAGCCCCAACATGAGCCTGTCACCTCCAGAGGATAAGCGTCAGACCATCTTTGGAGCGGTGAGCCCGGGAGACTCAGAAGCTGCTCAGGACACAGCCAGTGTGAGCCCAGGGTTACCAGGGAGGGCTGTGCCCGCACACCCAGCCCCAGTGTGTGGCCCAGCAGCCCCACACGGATCCCAGAGAAGGTGTCCCGTCAAGAAGCCAGTCATGCTTGGGAAAGAGCCCAAGGGGCTCCCAGAACACGTGCCTTATCCGCACCCCAGTGAGCCCCAGAGCCCTCCAGACTCTCCCAGAGTCGTGAGCCCTGGCGCCAACCACAGAGAGCGGCAATGGAGGCTCCAGACACCTTGAAGACACCAGGAGGGTCCCCAAGCCCCTCCCAAAGCGTGAGTTCAGATCCCACCAAAGACTCCTCCCCAAATCCCCGCCGTGGAGATTCCAGAAGCTTCTACAGACTGTAGAAGGTCTGTGAGTGGCACAGACCTCTCAGCAGTCCCTCAAGGGTGGGCTACAAAGTCCCCAAGCTGCCTGGAGGGTGGGCTTGAGCACACAGAGATGGGCCCCGACACCAAGCCCCCGTGCACACTGGGTGCACCTGTGTGTGGCTCTTCCCCAGCTGCGGAGTGAGACGCCCGGTGCTGCCTCCAGGGGTCCTGAGGGTGTCCCCACAGCCATACCCACTGCTGCCATCTGGGGCCCCATCACTTACTCAAATCGAATAGCGGCCTCAGCCAAGAACTTCTTGTCAAAGAGCCAGCGGAAGAAGAGGTCCAGGCTGCAGGGGAGAGAAGTGGCCAGGGAGCTGGAACGGCCGTGCGCAGGGGCGGGGGGACCTCCTAGACACGGGGCGCGGGCCGTGCCCTTCTCCCTGCACCTAGCCACGCCCCCACTCCTCCACGCACCTGCTCAGTCCCAGGGAGGGCAGGAGCAGCACCATGAAGATGAGGAAGGTGTAGCACTTGTGCATGGTTGTCCTGTTCTCCCCGGAGCTGTGGGCAGAGCCAGGTCAGCCCAGACCACGCCAAGTGGGTCCTGGGGTGACAGGGGTGACCCGAGGCAGGATCCTGGGTACCCGTTCCCCGCTTCTTGTGGGATTGCCAGGAGCAGTGGAGTCGGGACTCCACCCGAGGGGCCACGCGGCTGTGGGGGGTGTGGGTGTGTCTCCGTGTGTCGTGTGGTTTTCGGAGGGGGGCGTGTTGTAGACTGTTGTGGGGCGGGGGTGTGAGGCGCCCCAGCGGCGGGGTGTGGGGGAGCTGTGTGTTGTTATGGTTTTGTGGGGGGAGACAGGGGGTCGTGACTGACGGGGGTGGGGGCGCAGGGGGAGCCCGGTGTCACATGAAGAGCCCCGGGGTGAACAACAGAACAGCAGTTAGGGCAGAGCTACGGTGTGCCAGGCACTGACTGCCTACCACAGAACTGCTCCGTAGGCTTCTCAGAAACAAGCCTCACCTATTCCATAAGGAGCAGCCGGTGGGTTCGAACTGCTGACCTAAGGGTTAGTTGCCCCATGTGCACCCTCTACGCCACCAGGGCTCCTTAAGGAGGAGCTCCTGGAGGGGCAAAAGGACCCGGCGAGGGCACCTCTTTCTGTCTCAGTGGGTGGCATGGTGGTTATGCTGGGGCTGCTCCCTACAAGGTCAGCACTTTGAAACCCCAGCCCCTCCTTGGGAGAAAAGATGAGGCTCTCTACTCCCGTAAAAGAGTCACAGTCTTGGAGACTCACAGGGGGGCAGCTGTACCCTGTCTTATCGGGTCACTGCAGACCCCCTGGCAGTGGGTTTGGCTTTCTGGTGTTCTCTCACCCGCTGGCAAGCAGCAGGGCGGGGGTCTGAGCCCAGGCAACCTGGGTCTTCCCAAGGTTTTCCCACAGTGGACCTTTGAACATCGAGGTGCAACAGGGGCCTGCTGTATGGGAGGGGAGGACGGGCAGAGTGTCCCCTCCCCCCTCCTTCCCATTTGGGCTGGGTCTCCAGTCAGACAACTTTTCCTAAGGGGCCGGAGCCCGAGCCTCCAGCTCGGCATTTTTCAAGTGGCGCGATTGATGGAGGACAGAGGGATGAGGCTGGTCTGAGGTCATGAGGCGGAAAAGACTGGCCTGGGTTCCCCCAGTAGGCGTCTCTGTGTTAGTGCCAAGCCAGTTCTGACTCACAGTGGCCAGTGTGTCTGAGGAGAACTGCCCTGTAGGACCCCCTAGGAGGCGACCCTCCAGAAGCAGATGGCCAGGCCTTGTCCCCCAAAGTGACCCTGGGTGGGTCTGAACCACCCACCCCTCGGCTCACCATCGTGCTTAACTGTGTGTGCTACCAGGGCTCCTGGCAGTCTCTGTAGGTGCGTGTGCAAGGCCACTGGGGGAGTTGCCCGGGAGGGGATGGGAGCCCAAGGTGGGTGAGTGGGGTGGGGTTAGACTGAAAGGACCAGGGGCAGGTGGCCGTGGGACCCTCTGGTGCTCCTGCTGGGGAGGGCTGGTGCTGGTATGCAGGGAGTGTGGTGGGGCATGGCCTTACATTGAGGTACTCCACAGGCTTGGTGACGTTGAACTTGTCCATGGTGGTGATGATGATGGCCGGGGTGGTGAGGAAGAAGAGGAGGATGAAGAGGACCACGTTGATGACCAGGCAGCGCAGCCACCAGATGAAGCCTCGGATGGAGAGATGCTCCCTGGGGTGGGGGTGAGGGGGCAGGGGGGACAGGGAGGTGGTCACTCCAGTGCCTGACTGGTCCCCGCCTACCTCCCTGACTACCCCCATGGTTCACGCACCAGTAGATGTTCTGGGGGTCGGGGGCGTAGGACACGGTCCAGTTGGAGATGTGCAGGGACTCGCTGCAGGAGGAGGATCGCGGCTCCCCCCGGCAGGTGCAGCCCTGGCACTTGCACACGTTGAAGTCCTTCAGGATGCTGGGGGGCAGCACCGGTTACTGCTGGCCGGAGACCCCACCATTGCTCCCCGCCCCCAACGCAGGGGGCGGGGTGGCGCACGGGCTGGGGACTCACATGGCTGTGATGGTCTCGTTGTGGAAGGTGACAAAGGCCATGCCAAGAGGTTTCTCGTTCACCTTCTCCTTCTCCCGCTTGTAGTCCTCCCTCAGCTTTTGCTCCAGCTTCGTGTAGTACTCCATGGCCTCCACCTGCAGCGGGGCGGCTCACCTGAGCACACCTGGGCCGGGCCCCATACCGAGGGCTTCATATGGTCTTGGGGAAATGCCGCCCCACTGTGGCGTCGCTGCCGACTCACAGTGACCCCGCGGGACAGGCAGAAGTGCCCCGTGAGTTTCTGAGACGAACGCTTTACGGGAGCAGACAGCCTCGTCTTTCTCTCTTGGAGGCGCTGGTAGTTTTGAACCGCCGACCTTGCGGTCAGCAGACCAGTGTGTAACCACGAAGGAAAACGCCGCTGCCTTTCCATCCCCACCCCCCAGCACCCCAGTGAGGCGGGTGCAATCGGCTCCTGCTGTTGCTGCAAGTGGTCGAGTTGACGGGCCCATGTGTCCCGGGTAGGATTTCCCGTGGGACGTTCTTGGCTGTGCTCCTTACGCAGGCAAATCACTTAGGTTTTGCTCCTGAAGAGCTGCCGGGCAGCAGCAGTAGGGCACTTAACCACCAGGGCATCTTGTCCCTGTTTTCCGGATGAATTGCTGGCGGCACAGAGCAGTTGGGACACTTTCCCAGGCTCACAGAGCTGGCATGGGCAGTACAAGGCTGCCGTGGCTGCCCTACGCTGGTTGGAGGTTGGACACTGGTCACTGCGTGGCCAGCGGGAACCAGAGACTTTATTCCCTCCCTCAGCCCACTGTGTGCTCATGTTCCTGGGGTGATGGGGCAGGGCCACCCTGGGCTCCCTGTGACCGCGGGCCCTGTCGCACATACCTGCTCACAGCCGCGGACCACACAGCAGCAGAGGTGGCCGCAGGGCTTGGGGTTGATCATGGTGGGCACGTTCTCCTTGCTGTGCAGGTTGGTGAAGTAGACCTTTCCCCGCTCGGCCTTCTTCCTGTAGGACCCAAGCCCCCAGTCACCCACCACCCCAGCCAGGAGGCCACCGCGCCCACCTCCTGAGAACAAGCATGCCTGGTTCAGACATGGCACCAAGCCCGCAGGAAGTGTGCCCTACGGTATGCCCTGAATTTCTCCTGCTGGAGTTGAAGAGTCTGTGCTCAGAGGGGGCGGGGTCTTAGGCCTCCTCCTCCGCTTAGAACAAACAGACACCCACCCAGGCTCTGCTCTTGGCAGCGCCAAATGAACAGGCAATCCCACAGGCGGAACTGAATGCTAAAGGTTCTAGGAACTACCTGAGAGGGGAACCAGGTTCCTGGGTGGGGGCTGGCACACCCTCCATCACGGGTTGGGCACCCTGGGAGTCACGCTTCCCACCCATGTGCCCCAGTACCTCTCCGCATCCAGGAACATAAGGCGAGCCACGTTGTAACAGGGGCGGGCTTCCAGAACTGTGCAGTTGGGGTAGGCCTCCCTGGAACACAGCGGCCAATCACTTCCTGCAGGGCCCTGCCTGCCCGACCTGGACATCCACCGGGACCCTCCTCTCCCACCTTCCCACACGCAGGCCTGGTCTGCGTGGTGCCCTTCCTTCTCTGACCAATGAGAGCCCCTGTGAGATTCCCGATGGGGGTGGGGCTGCGTGCCAGGGGGAGCACCCTGGGGACAGTGCACACTGTATGTGGACACACCCGAGTCCGATTCTGCATCTGCTGAGACCTTCGAGGAAAGCTGTCCCCTTAGCCCTGCTCCAGAAGGCCTGACCACAGCCGGGACCAGGCTGACCCCTCTGACCAGCCATCCATCAAGCCCCAGTCAGCAGATGCTCTCTAACCTTGGCTGGTGACCCTGGCCCTTGACCTGAGAGTGATCTCTAACCATGGCCAGAGACTATAACCCTGATCTTGACCTCTAACCCTAACTCAAGACTGGCCCCTCACTCTGACTTGAGATTTATCCCAGTTTTACTGTGAGTCTGACCCACATCTCTGACCAGACTGTCCCTGCATGTGCCCTCCCCCAAAAGCAACAAATGCCAAGGGTCCCACCCCCACCCCCACCTCACCGCTACTGAGTCTGTTCTGATGCACAGCGACCTTATAGGGCAGAGTAGAACTGCCCCTGTGGGTTTCTGAGACTGTCGCTCAACAGGAGTAGAAAGCCCAATGTTTCTTTTGTGGAGTAGCTGATAGGCTTGAAGTGCTGACCTTGTGGTTGGTAACCCAATGCATAACCACCACGCCAGGGCTCCTTCTACACCCCATACATTCCAGTGTGGATTCCCCTACAAGGTTCGTGGGTGCACTGTAATCACAGACCACCTGCTGAAATTGACCGGGGTCATGAGTCCCAAGGGGCCAACGGTCTCGTTGGTCTTGGTCTCCTGGTTTGAAGCACACAGTAGGTGTGCAGCAGCCAGGTATGAATACAGGTAGGCCAAAGTATTGGGTCTTTGCTCAAAGGTCACTCCCGTCGGAGCCCATGCCCTGCCTACCCTTTCTGACCCTTCCTGGACACCATCACCTGTCCCTGCTGCTGTGCTTCTTAGTGCCCACTCCTGCTTTCCACAGCATCTGGTCCTAGTTCGCCTGTTCACCGTTTGTAGGTGCCTGTCCCCCATGAAACTGTAAGCATGGGGGGGGGTCTGGGCCTTGTCTGGATTGTTTAGTGCTCTGTCCCCGGTGGGCACATAGCAGGTGCACTGATGGACGTCTACGACTAAACAGATAGATGGCACAAACTGGCAGCCGGGCCCAATGTCCTCCGATTCTGAGCACCCGCTGCAGGTGATGCTGGCCCCGCCGCCCCCCGTCATGGCCTGACCCCCACGTTCCTGTATGCTGACTGAGGGTTGGCTCAGTCTGTTCTGAGGACAGGAGCATCGCAGGGCCAGCACACGGAACACGTGCTGCACACATGTGCCTTCCTCCACCAACACTGATCACACACGGACCCTCCGTCCTCCTCAGCATGGGGCTGGAAGCAGATCCTAACCAGTCCAACAGGTCCTGACTGGTGGGGGGGTCGGGGGGTGGGCAGGGGGCAAGGGAGCATTTGGGGACAGCACTATGATCCAAGACTCTGGCGGACCTCAGTACAGTCAGTGGCTGGGTCAGGTCAGCTGCCAGGAGCTCTCTGTGGGAGCCTGTGACAACCCCCCCCCCTCACCTGATGACCTTCATCATGATCCCTGACCTCCGACGGGCCGATCTTGACCAGTGCCTGGCCAGGCTCCTGAAGCTGACCACCACACTGTGAACCCTTTGAAAATCTCAAGCTCTTGAGGAAGCTGGCCAAGTGAGCAGGAAGTATGCGGGAGGGGGGGGATCCCCAGTCCTGCACAGGCCATGTCCCCATGTCCCCACAGCGGGTCCTTCCTTTCTGACGTCCCTGTGCCCCTGCCCCCATGAACTCTGCCCCACGGGTGAGCAGGTGAGTCCTGCCCAGCCCCTCCTGGCTCCTCCCCTTCTCTAGTTTCTGACCATCTTACTGAGCTTGGTGTGGAGTCCACTCCCTCCTAAGTCAGATGCCCCAGACAGAAGAGAACCTCTGGGAAGCCGCAGCCCAGCTTCTCCCCAAAGACCCCAGGACAATGTCTCCAGTCCGGACGGGAACGCACACCACACAGGACCCACAGACCCCGAGGCCCCAGCCGGGGCTCCATTTCACTCTAGGGCAGCGGTTCTCAACCTTCCTAATGCCGTGACCCTTTCATACCGCTCCTCATGGGGTGGCGACCCCCAACCATAACATTATTTTTGTTGCTACTTCATCACTGTCATTTTGATGCTATTATACACCGGGCGACCCCTGTGAAAGGGTTGCTCGACCCCCAAGTTGAGAACCACTGCTCTAGGGGCACGAGGAGGCCAGAAACATTTCTAGTTTTTTCTCCTGCTCTTCTGGGAGCCTCCCACTCAGTCCAGGTGCTAGACCCCTCTGGAGTCAGAGAGGGGCCCCCTTTGTCCAACCCCTGCCTGCCCCTGCAAGGTGAGGAGTATGAGGGTAGCATTGACGGGGAGGTGTGAGGAAGCAGCTGCAGGGGTGGGCCTGGGGGGGGGGGGGGCAGTTTGACTCACTCAAAGTGCTTCTTGATCTTTTCCGACTCTGCGTATTTGGAGATTCCGTTGATGAAGAGAGTCCGCTTCACCTGTGGGTGGAGGTAGAGGGTCTGCAGGGATTCCCCAGGCTGCAGGGAGGGGCTGTGTTTGGGGCGATGGGAGCAGGGTGAGCAGAGGAACTGGCAGGGGTGGGAGCAGGTCTTAGGGATCAGCCTGCTCCCAGGGGAAGCCAGGGGAAGGAAGAGCCTTCTAGGAGAAATCAGGCAGCGAGCTTCATGCAGGAGCGCTTTGGTTCTCTTGACAGGAGTCCCTTCCTGTGAGGGGGGTCTGCCACGGAGCAGCCTTCAGAGAAGGGGAGGGAAGCAGCGCTCCCTCCATCAGCCTTGGCTGCTGCTTCCTGAGGGCCACTTCAGCTCAGCCTTCCCGACAGCCTGAGCACAGTCTTGGGGGACCCCCTCGGCAGAGGGGAACCCACCACGGCAGCTGAGCCAGGAGGCACACCTGGCTGGCGGAACTCGCCAGGGGGCCAGAGGCTGGAGGTGGGGGTTGGGTGAGGTGGTGGGGGACCCCCTATTCACCAGGTCGTCCTCCTTGTAGCGCATCTTGGAGGTGTGTCTCCGCATGCTGTAGACTGTGAGCAGCAGGTACAGGAAGGCGAAGGAGGTGTGCAGCCATAGTAGGTTGTTCCTGGGGGATGGGCATGGGGGTTCAGGGAGCCCACGGGAGCCACTGGTCCTGCACATACCATCAGCTGCCCCTCAACTTCCTGGTGATTAGGCCCCTCCACTGGCAGCAGTCTGCAGGTTCTATGCCTCTGCCCTCCAGCCCAGCACCCAAGAGTGCTCCATCCTCACTAGTCTACCTGCTGGCTACTCTGCCCTCCGGCTGCCCCCCTGCCAGCCCGACAGACCCCTCTTCTTTATGGGGCCACTCTGGGGACCCTCTTCAGGGGTCTACCCATTCTACCTTCACCCCAGACCCTCAGGGACCCACAGCTTCTTTGCAGATCCAGCCCCCAATCCCTTCTTTAGGGTCCAGACTTCTGGCCACAGACCAGTTTTCCCCAACCTTACCCTGATTTCAGGTTGGCAATAGTGGTCCTCCCAAAGCTGTAGGCATTGTTCTCTAGGGGGTGGGGAAAAGCAGCATGGGCTCAGGGCATGTCCACTCCCCTGCCCCAGCCCCGACCCCCTACGCAGTCCTCGCTGACCCAGCAGGTCTCCTGAGAAGTTGACGGGCAGCACGATGCCCACAGAGAGGACGCCCACGACCACCAGCAGGCCGATGATGTGCCGCTGGAAGGACAGGTAGTGCACCGCGTCGCCCCCACACTTGTCCCGGATCTCGTCGTCCCTGGGGACAGCGGGGCAGGTTGTGGGCCGGGCAAGGGAGGGGCCACCACTCCCCTGCCCTTACCCGCCCCCAGACCCACGCCCCTGCCCATCTGGCAGCAGTATGGGGTTTATGAAATGGAAACTCTTAGTCCCGTTTCCTGGGAGAGTGAGGAGAGAGGGGAGGGCTAGAAGGTGAAGGCAAGGGATTGGAGCGAGGGAAGGAGAGAGAGACTGAAGACAGAGAAAGAATGATGGGGGTGAGAAGGAGAGAAGAGAAAGGTTTGATGGGGGACGAGGAGGAGGAAGTGGGGAAGTAGGATGAGGTCTGGGGAAACAGCAGCACTCCATGGGTGCTGGGTGGGCCGTGTATGGCGAGGCCCAGGGCACGGGGGTGGGCCCTGGGGGCTAGGGGGAGTGGTTGGTGGGGGTGCTGACCTGTCCAAGCTTCCTGCCTCTCTCAGCGCTCACTGCCTGCCTGCTGGACTCTGGCTTGGCCTCCTGAGTTCTGCCTGCTTGGCTCTGCTCCTGCCTGCGGTTGCTGGCTGCCTCCAGTCTGACTGCTGCACTCCGCACCCCCCACTCGCCCCGCCACTGGCTGCACCAGGAGGCTCTGGGTCTGGGGGCTCCAGTCCCTCCTCTCAAGGGGGCCAGGGGGCAGAGAAAGATGAGGGGAGAGGTCCCCACCCCCACCCCCGACGTGGGGGTCACAGAAGCGACTGGGGGGGCAAGGGAGCGTTCGGGCACAGCACAGGCCAGGGGAGGGGGTGGATGGACGCAGGCCTTGGCCTCCTGGCCTGGGGAAGAGGGTGCCGGGCTGCCTAGGAGCACTAAGGCCCTCAGAGCCTCTGGCTCCCGGTCTTGTGGGAGCTGACGGGCCTGGAGTTTTGTCCTGTGTGTCCCTGCACTTACTTTATCCTGAAGATGGCTGTCAGCCAGGAACAGAAACCCTGGGGGGGACAGAGGACTGTCAGCCTGAGCCCCCAGCCTGCCCACTTGGAATGCCCCTCCCCGAGTCCCACCCACCCATTCACAGTGACTCCCAGGCACAGAACACCCCTGCTTCCCCACCCCCACCCCCCACCAAACCACACCCCATGAGTGAGCCTGTGGTGGGCAGGGGGAGGGAGGGAGGAGAGGGCAGGTTCCAGGTTTCAAGAAAAAAAAGGACCAATGCCAAGGTGGGTTATTCACCTGGAAACCCCCATGTTTCAGGCATCGGACGCTACAAATACCCTGGGGGGCAGCAGAGGCTGAAACAAGTGCTGTAGCTTGCTGGGAGGGGTGGGAGTGGGCAGGGTGTGGACTTCTCAGTAGGGTAGGGGGCCCAGATCTCCAGAACCTGAGAGAGTGGGCCAGGCTCTCCAAATCCCTGCCATCTATTCTCTAGGTCACTGGGAAGGGACTGCTCCAGGGGTTCCTAAGACCTGTACTTTTCTGCCTTTCAGCCCCCAGGCCTGCCTCAGGCAGGGGAGCAGGGTGGGGGGGGCGCGGGGAGAGAGAACTCCCTCCCCACCCCCAGTCTCCCACCATCAGAAGGCCAGTCTGAGCACAGGCTGGGGAGAAAGGTGTCGTCCAGCCATATGGCAGGACTTTGGCTGCGCCAGGACACCACTAGAGGCCTCTGGCTGGCACTGGCAGGGGACTGCTTTAGCTGTGTCATTTACCGGCAGGAGTCCCACCCAGGAAGCCGGCCACCATTGGCTGGGACTGTTCAGGGAGCCGCAGGGGCCCCAGGCTCCCCTGGACTAACCCAGCCACCCCGGCTCTAAGGAATCAAGTTCTAAGCAGGGCTCCCACCACAAAGAATGTTGGGAGGACCAGAGAGGTAGCACAATATGCAGGGTGCACCATGAAAGGGTGGGATGGGCTGTTGTGACCACCACATACAGACCAATCCACAAGTGGGCCAACTGGCCCCACACAAGTCAGGGCCATGGGCTCTCACGCCTTCTGACGACTCCACGGAGCCTGTACGTTTTGCTCAGCATGGGCGGACAGACCCTTAGTATTTCTAAAACCATGGGGGAAAAGGTGCCCTTAGGATTAATCAAAGGAGCCCCAATGGCACTGAGCTGCTAACCCGAAGGTCAGCAGTTTGAAACCACCAGCTGCTCCAAGGGAGAAAAACGAGGCTTTCTGCTCCCGTGAAGTGAGTGTGGGAAACCACAGGAGCGGCTCCTACCCTGTCCTACAAGGTCCCTATGAGTTGTCATCGACTCGGTGGCAGTGAGTTGAACATCCATCCAAGGACCCCTGGTGGCCCACCAGGTTGAGCGCTTGCTTACTTGGCTGCTAATGGCAGCGCTGACGGAGTGAACCCACCGGGCTGGGAGGGACTTGCAGGCAACTGCAAGCAGAGCCAGTGGAAGGGGTCAGGCTGGAGCCTGCCCCGGACTGTGGCAGGGGGTTTGGGTTTCCCAGGAGCTAAGCCACGCGAGTTGGGATGCTGTGATGTACGGGACATGAATCGGGAGCTCCGGGCCTGGCTGGCTGCCCTGTGTGAAGGAGAGGGCCAGGCCGGCCTCCCTGACTCCCTGGCCCGGCAGCTTAAGGGGGTATGGAGGGCACTCACATTGTCCCTTTGGTCAAAGTCGACGGAGCTGGAGACAGAGGTGAGCCGCTCATACCGGTCGTGACTGTCCCCGTGCATAGCTGAGGCCACACTGGGGGTGGGGAGAGGAGAGAGCGGAGGCCCACTGAGTATATGAGCCCTTGTATGGGGGGATGCAGTGGGGAGGCCCCCACTCTACCTCCAGGGACAGAGAAAGGCACAGAAAGCGCAGAGGCTGAAGCAGGGAGGAATACATGCCCTCTACCCTGCTCCCTTCCAACTTCCCTTGCCCTTCAGGGAGACCTGGGACCCAACACCTGCAGCCTTAAGGCAGGCAGGTAGGAAGGCATCTTCAAGGGCTTGCTGCCTGTGGTGGGTGAAGCAGGAATGCTAAGAGGCCCTGCAGTTCCGGGGTTGACCATCAGGGGGCACAGCAGAAAAGAGTATGCAAAGTGGAGGCAGGTGGTGGTGGTGATGGGGCGGGGGCGGGACTGAGAACCCTGGAGATGTTGGGGCAGAAAGGGGCTGGAGGGGGTCTGCAGGGTGGGCTGCTAGCCTCCCTCCTCCTCAACTCCAGGGGTTGTTCAACTCCAGCTCTGGTCCTACAGACAAAGACCACCACATGACACAGTTCGG